CATCTCACCGTGGAGGGGACGTGTGAGTGCCAGGCCCTGTGGAGGGTGCGGACGGGTGGGACATGGCCCTGCCGCCGGCTTCCCCCACAGAAGGGGCCTGCTCCTGCTCCCTCTCGCGGGTGGGTGGCTTCCCTGCCTGAGTCTAGTGCACCCAGCTCCAGTACACGGTGGTGGCCACCGACCAGCCAACCGGCAGCCAGGCCCAGGGCCCGCTGCTCATCACCGTGGAGGGGACGTGTGAGTGCCAGGCCCTGTGGAGGGTGCGGACGGGTGGGACATGGCCCTGCCGCCGGCTTCCCCCACAGAAGGGGCCTGCTCCTGCTCCCTCTCGCGGGTGGGTGGCTTCCCTGAGCCTGAGTCTCCTTCCCGATAAAACGAGAATAACGGTGCGTGCCGCACAGCCGAGCTGGAGGGATGAGGGTGACGGGGAGTGTGAAACCGCTCCTCCCAGAGACACTGCGTAGCAGTCAGCGCTGCTCCCTGTCACCCTGTCAGTGCATCCGCACCTGCACTTACGGGGCTGCCAGATAAAACTTGAATTTTAGGTTAAAAAAAAAACAAAAACAATTTCTTGATGCATGTCCCGTGCAACCTCTGCAGAGTCTCTCAGAAAAGTTTTTAGGTGTCAACGAAATATTAGGGACGTACTTACATAAAGCAGGTGTTCAGTGTTTATCTAAAACATAGGATTAACCTTATGTCCTTGGCCACGTCTGGCCACCTCACATCCTCTCTCTCTACTACCCAGCCCAGTAGCTGTGCCCCCTTTGGCTGTGGTGCCCTTCCCCCTCCCCCCCGTTTCCCAACAGCCCCATCACTGCCCTGCACCTGGTGCTGAGTTTCTCCATCCCCTTTGGACTCAACCCATGGGGCAGCTCAGCCAGTGCTGCCCTGTCCCTGGGTGCTGGCGGGACACTGGGCCTGGGCTGGCCCCCTGTGACCGGCTTCCTTCCACCCCCAGACGTGGCTGAGGAGCCAGGCTGCCCCCTGTCCTGCGCCATCAGCAAGAGGCGGTCCGAGTGTGAGGAGTGCGGTGGCCTGGGCTCTCTGACAGGCAGGTGCGAGTGGAGA